GAAGGCCTAATCAACAAAAGAAAACTACGATATGCGACTCAATGAATGTACAATGCATGGCGCATCCCAAGAGAGATGATCAAAGCTGAACGCTTCATACGCTATGCTTTTATCTCCTAAATGGGAGAAGGTGAGCGCTTCGGGTAATGGGAGGGAGGAGGTGAGCGGCCTTGGGACTTGGGCCGCGCCCCTGAGTTTACGATAGCCTTTGGGTCGCTGTAACTTGACCCGAACGGGTTCTGGCTGTGATGATGCTACACAAGGTAAAGCGTGGCGGCACGGGAGCCGAAAGGTACTCATTATATGCGACCCCTGTACCTCCACTGGTCCAGACTTGTCCCTTCTGTTGTGACCGCATGACCCTGACACTGGAAATCTACTCCTCTGATGAACATGGTGTAAACTCAAATTCGCAGAGGTGTTCAAAAAAGTCTATCGCGGTATCACTCCCAGCCCCCTCAGCTTGTTAATTACGGTACTGTATAACGTTTGTCATAACAGCAATTTGTTGACTGGAGCAGGATGTTTGTTGCTCGAACTCGACGAGAAAGCGGAAGTCGCGGAGTCTGATGACGCAACACGAGATTTATTAAGGCTTCTGATTGTGAGAACGCTTCAAAGTTCTTGATATTAGGGTAACTAAAACAACAATTCTCAAAAGTATAGTAAAGTAACGAGAGGTTTCTTGTTAGGAAAAGCGGGAGGGCTTTACAAAGAACGCCGTAAAACGGCGAGGTAGTTAGGCAAAACGCAAAGGGGAAGGAATGAAATGTGACTGAGGGCGAAAGAGATAAAAGGCGATTCTAAAGACCTGTAAGCCTGGATCTACTAGTCGTTACAAATCAGCCTTCAAAAGTTGTTACAAATGATTAAAGCTTTTTAAATTAGATTCGGTCCTCACCTGTGAGCCTTTTTTATCCCTTTGAGCGCAGCTGACCCAGAAGTGGCATTAGTTATCATGCGCACGGTCCGGGGTAAAATCCCGACTCGAATCTTGCCCAGGACACCCAAGTCTTCGATCCCGTAGGGTCGGTTAACTGATCCCAGATTCGCCAAAAAACATTGACTTGTACCTCCTGTCACCACGACTCAGACTGGAAACCGAAAACTTGGAAATGGATTGACTAACGCCGCATGACTTACCATTTCTTATTTGGGCGCTATCGCAAGATGCGGGGAATAAGCCTAGGAAAGGGCATTAACTTCGGAAAAAATGAGAATTGCTCACGCACCCCAGATTCTCCTTCCCTCGCCGAAGGGATAGTCCTATTTCCAACAAAAGAACTATTTTCAATACGTTGCCATTACAATGTCCCTGTATCTTGCGATAGCGCCCTTATTTGTTTTTTTTCTTTTTTTTGCCACCACGCTCCGAGAATTGAAACCAGTGGGACCTGATGACAGCTAAGATTAAACGGAAGCTTTATTAGTGTCCAAGTTCGACTTTGTATGAATCTTGGCATATTTTTAGAATAGAATAGTTTAGTACTGAGCTTCCGACCAAGATTGTCAATAGCTTTATTTGGCCGACGTTTCGGCTTTATTTCGGCCCCATGGAAGCTTTATTACCTTCTATCATTCTGAGAGCCTACCTCGACTAAGGAAGACGTGTACCTGACAGGGTAATGTGGAGGGCTTGAGTGCCAGGCTATTTTCCTACCCATCTGATCAAAGCTTTTTGGAAAAGAGGGCTATGCCGACGAAGGGTGTAACCTTGGTCGTCAGGGTTTTCCCGGCAAGGTAATGCAGTTGATCTACAGTACGATACTAGCGAACAAAAAAAATAAGGATTTCGCTCTGGAGAAGTTGCACACGGCGGTCATGTCCTTAGGGGGGGGGACATTCAAAACAGGACATTCAAAAACGCTGGTAGGTGACACTAGGACTAAAACCAGGATTGAATAAACACCAGGGAAAACATGGTTGCTCACATCTCTCCCAGAATCCTTCCCCTTCTAAGGCTTAGTCCCGAGTTCTAAGTGTGGCCAACTCACTTCAATGTCCCCTCTAAGGACATGAGTGCCGTGGCAAACGCCTCCACAAGTGATCACTACCGTACCAACGGTTGGTACGGTAGCTGTACATGACACCTAAGATTGAGATAAAAAGCACATAAGATATTGCACTATACCATATTGCACTATTGCGGATTGATCCAGTCTCTTTCCCGGAAATATTACATAAGAAAAGGTGAGTGCGGGTTCTTAGAAGGCAACGTTGACTCACTGAATAACAAATATAGAACCGTCAAGCACACTTCCAATTCCTCATAAAGTTTTTGAGAATATAAAAAGATAAAATAAAAATAATAAATAAATCAAAAATAAATAAGTTATGGAGGGTTTTCGGTGAAGTTTCAAGAATGTCGGCCACACTGAGAACTTTTTAAAATAATTCTTTGTGGTCCTAGGCGTCTACGCTCTTCTGGTTACCTACCAGGGTCGGCTATTGTGCTGGGTAAATTTTGAGGGTTAGCGCGATTTCTCCTCTCCAGTCATCCTTCGACCCTTCCCCACCAGTCTTTTCTTTCCCACGGATATCTTGGAAACCACACCTCACCAGTGCCCCCCCCCCCTAGAAAATGTTGTAGTGGAAATATTGGGAAAAACAGGTAAAATAGAGGGAAAATGGGGAAAAGTAAGGAAATAGAGGAAATTTTTGCGGTTTCGTGGTAGCTATATACCCCCTCCCGCTCGACGGTGTTTTTCGAGGGAAAAATAAGTTGTGAAGGGGTCGTATGAAATCTGTCGTGAAGGAGGGGGTCGTAAAAAATTTTGCAAAAAGTCCCAACGATAGGACCGACCCTGCCCCCAATTTACCCCGCGCAGGCCGGGCAATCCCATGCCCCTGAGGAAATATTTATAAGCTTGCTGAAACAGGAAAAATTTAACAATTTTCTGATTTTTTTTTTTGAATTTTCAGGAAACTTTCACTATCCAAAAAAACCCTCTACTAAAAATACTGAGGAAATTCCACCAAATACGCCCCTTTCCACAATCCACATTTACAAACCTTTCGTTGAACTTTGAACAACGAACGGGGGACTCCTTTGTTCCAAAAGACCCACTTACCCATACGGAAATGATTTATTCGGAACGAATGATTAGGCCTCCCATCTAGGATATCGCCAGCACATTCTGAGCATAGTGGAAGCTCCCAAGTGGGCTCCTGCGTGAGAAGGAAGACAGCTGGGCACCCGAATGGCCTTCACTGACCCAACACCGTTCGAGTTCTATCGATTGCGTGTAGGATACCACTCCACCACACACCCACGGCCGCCGCCCCTTCCCATCCTTTTTCCCGGACATGTTTAGATTGATCACTTAACGTTTTTTTTCTTTTCCTGTCTTTTCTTTCCACATACCAAGCGAATTGTTACTTAACATGCGTTTGAAGGTGGAAAGTGGGGCAACTTTTCAATTTCCGTGAACTCGTAGCCTATTTCTTCATTCCATTCATTTCAAGACGAAAAGGTCTTAAGGAGTCCTTGAAGGTCTCACTTTGCTATTTGCTTTATTTAAGTTGTTTCTTCTGGTTCTATATAGATGTAGCACGGTCAAAAAGTGTTCGTCAAAGCGCTTTTCCGTGCTTCTCTTTTTTTGCCTAAAAAAATCGAAAAAGTGGCGTCGAAAGTTTTTTTCTTCTGGACATCCTGATTCTTTAAGACTTGAGGATATAAAAACACTAGAAAACGTAAGTATATCAATCTTTGGAGGGCGTTGCTCAAACGAGAAAGAAAATATATGCCACTAAAATCTTTTAGCGAAACACTTTGAACGCTACTGTTGTGGGGAATAAACGTCGATGAAAATATATTCACCTAGTGAGCAGCTAGGACTATGCCTGGGAAAAGGGAGAAATTCCCCCGGAGGAAAAGAAAATCGCTAACGAAGCCAGGGGTTTTCCTTCCCTTCTTTAGTCCTAAACCTTTATACTAGGAGAAAAAGATGTCAGTGATTTCAAACACGTTGAGCGCTCTAAACCCGTCCCCCTTACTGGAATAGACACAAAAGGTTTGGCCACTGTGGGCGGGGAGGGGGAGGAGCACCACGACCTACATCCGCGTCAGCATTACCCAAACTTTGAAGAGAGAGCGAACTATCTGGAGTGAGAAGTGATCATCGTATTCTACGGAGTTCCCCCTACTGCTTAGGCTTCCTCCTAGATGACTATTTTCAGGGTGCCCCCCCCCTGAGCCACATTTTGCCGAGGTTCGATTTGGTTTCCTTTTTTCTCGGTTTCTTCTTTTTTCTCAGGTTCGCTCTTTTTTGTTGCGTCGTCCTTAGCAAATATCTCCTCCATTGGCTTGTTTTTTTTTTCTCTCACATTCCTATTTATATTCTGTAGAAGACTTTTGAAGGTTATCCCTTTGAAAAGCTTGAGTCATTTAAAAAGAATACGATTTTTTTTCGCAGTTTCGCCTACTCGCGGCTATTGTGTCTATTTTTTCTTAAGGTTATCGTTCTTTGATTCCAATAAAAGCAGTAGAAAGACGAGCTCTTTTCTATTTATCTGGGGCTGTTTTCCAGTGATTTTTTGTGTTCGTTTCGACATAGTTTTGTCGGAGATGTTTTTTTTAATGCACGTTTTCGCCCACGTACAATTCTTTATTAATTTTTAACATTTTAATGTTTTCCTTTCTCTGAACTATGATGTGTTATCTACAACTGTTTTTGAAGAAAGTGCCCACGCGATAAATCAACAGGACCTTTTGTATTAGACTCATTTTTCGTTTACACCTGCATTGATTGCTTTGTGTTGATGGCGTCGGTTGTTTTGCCGCCCCCGCTCTCCGTTTTTTTCGTAGTTTTTGAAGTTTTTTTTGCTCTTGTAGTAACCACAAAATTTTCTGTTCCTGGTTTTTATATCAGTGATCGTCATCGGTTCTCTTCGTGTAGCGTTTTTTTTTTCTCGTTATACCAAGGTCTCACGTCAACTGTGAATTTCAATGTGGTGACATTACAGGCCGCGTCAACGGGGTTCGGTGGCGTTCGGCACTCATGGACCGACTTAGCCCAATATCGACTGATTCTGGGTTTGAGTCATGTTGCTGTCCATCGAGTCCTACCACATCGTCTTCTAGCGCCAAGGTTTGTTCTTTCGTATTGATGCGGGAATAGTTCCTCATGTTAATGTTTGCACCCAGTTTTTCTACCGTTAGCGTAAAAATGAAACAAAGCACTGAAAATAGCAAAATGTGCTTCCACAGTTTCGTTCGATTTGTTTTTGAACTGTTTGATTTTCATGTTGTTTTAATCTGAACCAAAGTTCAGGCATAGTTTCTGGAACACCGTTTTTATAACACTTTAGCGAATTGCACTATTGATCGTGTTCGAATAGCAATTGCGGTTTACTAACGCGTGAACTCTTTAAAATGGATTAACTCAAGATATGGGACATGTAAACTTTGAGTTTTTGTGGGGATTACTGACGACCCTGGCGTTGCTGATTTGCATTGAAATGATCTTGAAAAAAGGATTGGTTTTAGTTTGGTTTTACTTTTTTAGGTTCTTTTTTACCCTTTTTTCTGGTCTTTTTTCTTGTGCGCGTTCTTGTCAATATGACTAATATGTAATCGTTTATCTTGCCTTTGGTTCTGGAGGAAGAAGTTTTGTGGACTCTCAATTGTGTAGGATAAGAGGAGGAACTAAGAACTGTGAGGGATATCACAAGGTTTAGAACCCTTGTTTTTGTGTAGTTTTTAGGTGTGTCAATAATAATTTGGAGCCTGTGGAGCCAATTATAGGGCTCAGATAACGTCCACAGTTAGGCCAAAATTTCTCTACAGTTTATTATGCGCTGATGTTTTTTACTGCTTCCAGCATCTGGCCGTCATTTCCTCAGCGGTTGTGGTTAAGTCGAATTTCTCAAAAATTTCTGAATTGGAATAGGTGCAGTCCCATGAAACATAGCTAGCACTTTAACGGGCTAGGGTTATAATTCCAGAGCTTTGCGAGCTGATTCCAGGCCTTACCTTCACGACGATACAGATGCTTGAATCTAAGCCCACTGGTATCCCTTTTTACTTAGACCGCACTACTGAATTTCGACAGTCCTAAGTGCACACGTTTTATTTCGTGGCACCCATAGGATGATCAATAGATGTATAATCCGTTGCTATCGAGTGGTCGGATCGCCAGAATTGCAAACGCCGAAGAGGCTCAAGAGTCTGTCGCAGCTTAGGCTAAGTAGCCCGAGTCCAATCAATCTTGCGTCAATATACCCACATAGTATTGTAGCGGTCTGATGGCCTCCGCTCCTTTTATAGTTGTGTTCATATGGCTTATTCTGGCTTGTTTGTTAGCTTAAACTTTCGAGCGTTCAAGTTCAAAATATGGTTTTTCAAAAAGACTAATTTGATCCTGTTTCCTACATGCCATACCGCGGTTTATACCAGACACGTTCAATAAGGTGATAGGTTAAGGGTTAAATAAGGTTTTCTCACATGATCCATGAAGATTCCGATGGGAAAGAATTCATACTGTAGTAGTTCCTTTATATATGTATATGAATTGAACTTGAATTTACAGTTTGTTCGTTCTTCATGTGTCACGTCACCACCCTCTTGCACAGTTATACACCAGCCTGCCACCGATGATCATCATGTCATTTGTGACCTGACGCCGTCAAGCAGTGAGATTTCACTGTATCGTGAGGTGTGTTTAAGCTGTAGCCTGGTTTCTGCTTTTAATAATGGTCTGTTTTTCAGGATTCTGTTTCTTTGGACTCAATCTCGACCTCTTCTCTAAATAATGATTGTTCTTCGAGCTGCGTAGCTTGTACATCAATTGATAGCCAGGTCTCCGATTATGGCGGTAAGAGCTTACTCGAGACCTTAATCTTCAGCCGCCTTTATATGAGTATGTAAACATAGTGAATCGTACAAGTTTATTTTCAGAGGGTTCTAGTTCTGAGTGCAAATCACGTTTTGTTGACGGCGGTTCGGTCAGATATCACTGCTTATGGAGCGGTTGTGAGAATATTTTCGAGACAGCTGATTATCTTTACGATCACGTCACTGAGGTAGGATATTCTATATAACTTAGCCCCGAGACGTTTGGTTTCCTTTTTTTGTTACCAATTTTAAATTTTTTTGGTCGATCGATCCGTGCTTGGCGGAGTATACATTTCGCTCAGTCTTGATTTTCAGCTTCATATCAACGTTCTGCGGGATTTGCCCTCTGACCTTTTGAAGGCGAAACAACAGGAAAAAGAGGATGATGAGCCTATCAAATGTCACTGGGATGACTGCACAATGTTCCTCCGTCGAGGAGATCAGCAGAAGAAGGTGAGAGTTATCGTACTTCTCCTTTCTTCCCTAATATCATGGTTTCATGGTTGTGGCTTCCTTCTTTTAACTTATGATCCAACCATTTTTCGGATTATTAATTATTACATATTTCTCAATTGTCGCGACAGTATTACGTTTTGATAGCAAGGTCCATCTCCTGCTTTGAAAAGCGTTCATACTTGGCGCCGAAGTCGTTTCACGCGACGCACGCCGCAACACATGCTATCGAGCACTGTTGGACGTGTGCTGCGCCAGTCTTGTCAATTTTGAACTGCGACGGACATTTGAAATGTTGTGGTGGAAAAACTTGCTCGCGGAAATGTTGGCAAAATGAACAAAAAATGTTAAAGCAAAGCACAAAAAGTTCAGACTTGCCATCCGTCCAATTCGCCCCTTGTGTGCGCAATGGGGAAAGGAGTTCGATAAACTCCTTTCGCACACAGCCACGCGAAGTTTAGATTATTGCTCAACCTCTCCGTTATTTTTTATAGCCTGATCGGTTCATGAATTAATTTTTTTTCTCATAGGAGATGAAACTCATAAGTGGTAGTGATATACTACTAAATTGCGGGTTCTTGACTGTGTAAAGTGTTTCTAAGCCTTCAGCCAATAGCCGCTCATAGGCTTTTGGGTTTTAGTACTTTGTGTCGGCATTCGATTTCAAACAATGATTTTTCGTGAGATGAATGACGTATCCTTGCATACGTTGATGCATTCAGTGTATTCAGTTTCCATTGTTGCTATCATGTGTTAAAAACGTAGATACAGCAAAGAAGACTCCATCTCAACCACAACGGGCACTCTGCAGTTATCTACGTTGACCGTGTTGAGATCTTGATTCGCGTATCCCCAGATGGGAGAAACACAACGTTGCTCATCGACTTGTCGCTCCAACTATTTACGGTGCCATTTTCCCGAGTGTTGCGATTTAAGGCAATTCACATGTCCCTATGAAAGGGTACAGCGTTTGCTCACAGCTATCGTACAACCCTATGCGAAAAAGGTGCATTGTCTGGAAGTGTTGCTGTATTAACATAAATGGTTGTGATCTTTGTGTTGAGTCCTTCAAAAGTTTCGACCTATTCCAAGTAAATTTCCAGCGTTAAGCAATGCTATGCGCAGCATTTCTGTTCCAACAATCTATTAGTATTATGCAGCTTAAAGTTCAAAGTACGGATTTTTGAAATTAAGTACATAATAAATGATTTGGTTTCAGATATCCTGGCTCGTAGATCACTATCGGACTCGTCATGCGCGAGCTGCTAATCCTTTCCATTGCGTAATTGAAGGGTGTCAGACGCGTTTTTCAACAACGTACAATGCGAGAAAGCGTTCGCCTGGAACATATCAACCCACACCGCCTGGAACATATCAACCCACCCAAGCCAGGTTGGATTCTGTGATCTTGTAGTGATTACAATTAGCCTTGGTCATTCTGCTGTGGTACACAGTGAAATTTAATTCTTGAGTCAAGGAGATCTGTTTTGGAGTAGTGGGTAGCAGTTTGTTCAGTTTACCGGGTGTTTTCGTTCTATCAGGTGGATAATATGAATGAAGGAGTACTATTGCTTAGATGCTGAGGTTTCAGTGAGCAAAATTTCAATGGAAGGCATACCGTAGTACGTTGTTGATCAAGTTGAAAGCTTTTCTTAGCGAAAATTTCTGAACCAGATGCATTTCACAAAGTTTCTGAATTTCTAACTTTAATTTGTTTTAGTCAAGGAATCTCCGGTTGTGGTAAAAAGGGAGAGCTGTTATGGTTGGCGACCACGGGTGTACTATCCTGTTCGTGAGTATTTTTGCTAATTCGGCTACCTTTTACTTTTTGGAATATCTTTGAAATTCTTTCTGTTGAAACGATGGTAATTAACCCTATTTGACTAGACTTTCAAAGTGGAAATGTGTTTTGAAAGACTGCTTAAATTATTTCTTTCCTTGTGTTTCCTTCTTTTACTTTTCATTTTAGTTTTGGCATACTTATTTCGGCCTCCTTTAGGACCTCGTCCTACAATGTACTGCCCACATTTCGACGAAAAGCTCTTAAAATGCGTTCGCGTGATGAACAAGCATAATTTCGACGTCGCCTTCACTCCTGTCGAATTTAACGCCGATTTGAGAGGAGCTAAACGAAGAAAATGTCGACATCGCTATGCATACCGAATAGAGCCTTCGAGTTCACTGCCTCCAAAACTGTCGAAACAGGAAGATGTGAGTATTTTGGGAGCCTTTTTCATGTTTTTATGCGTTGCGGTTTTTTTATAAGTGGAAACTTTGCCAAATTTTATACTACTACTACTTACGACAATGTTTATTTCTTCAAAGCTTGTTGCCCGGGAGTTTGAACTGTCTATTTTTGTACCGTAGCCTTTCGAGCTTTTTTGCGAGATCGCCGCGTGATTCATCCACATAATCGGTTAGCTTTTAATGGATGGAAGCTTGGCTGGGATTAGCTAGGCTTCATAACTTTTCAACACCTGAAGGCGTGACCGCAGCGAGCGCAGACGAGAGCAGGGTGAGAGCTTGGAGTCGTGTTCTCTTTTGTCACCGTGCTCTCTCGTCAATATCTCACCACTACTGGCTCTCTGCTCTCCGGCATGCCTCTCTTCAGACCCGCCGCGGCCCCGCTTCAAAAAAAGCCACGGAGCCGCTTGGTTGGCTTAGGCAGGATTCGATCTGGTTTCTAACCGTGCGCGTCGTAAGTGACGTATTCTAGCGTTCGTAACTATTTGACTTCCATCCTGACTATTTTTTCGAAATAGCTAGGCAAAAATCGCTGCATCGCGCGCATCAGATTCCCTGCTTATAGAAGCATTACAAGTCCGTGGGACTCTCCTCCATTTGTACAGCCTTGCTACGGACTAACGATCTGTTTGCCATGTCTCTTATGCAGGTTAAATGATATGTGGAGATTCGTTGGGAATTCTTTTTTTTCAGAGGGATTTGGTGATAGTTTGGCCTTTCCTTCTTACCTTTTCATGGTTTCTTTCTCTTACACCCAACATTGCTAAGAACGAGTACAGAAATAGCACGTTGTTGTCTTTTCATTTGGAGTTCAGTTTTTATTAACTTTTCTCATACGAACCCAATTCGCTCTCAAAATGACTGTTAGTATATTTGAAGTTCTCAAAACACTTCTCACAAATTAATATCGTATGACTCGAATCGAATATCGTATGAAACGAATATCGATTGACTATAAGGAAATTGGGAGTTAAAGATTGTGGAAGAAAAAAGAAAGAAAAGAAAGGGTAAAATTGTAAGAGGGGAGAGGGATAGCAACTTTGATAACATGCTCACTTGAAGTGCCTTCTGGTAACGGGTGAAGTATCCTCCAGATCCCATCCAGTTTTCCGCACGCTTCTGTGAGTTCTCCACTCTGAAGCTCTTCCCTTCGATCTTTTCCTGACTAGCACTAGAGACGCATAAAGAGTGCAATGAAACGGCTCCCGGCAACCTCATTTTTGCCTTCAGATTATTTTATGTCGAGGAGATTGTTATTGCTTGAATAGTAGGGGAGTGGGGCATTTCAAAAAGGCTACACAAAGGACCAGTACTTTTTTGTCGGCCTGATTAGACAACAAGTATCATACATTTTTTGGGTGTTGAAGGGAACTTGTTGCTAAAATCCGATTTGCGAGAAGCTGAATCAAAAATCAAATTTCTCCTCATTCCACGAAATGGCTTTGTTTTCCTAATTAATGAAAATAAATCTGGAAAAAAAATCAAAAATATATTGCAGACTGCTGCCTACGACGTTGAGAGGTTAAGAGAAGTGACGACTATTTTCGACCTTTTCCCTCCATTGAAGATACCTGTTACAACAGATGAATCACCTATGGAAACGAATACTGCCTGAATATGGAAGAAGTCAAACAGTGTTGATCTCGTCGGGATTCGGGATCACTTTTGCCTTGTTCACTAGATAACATGTTGATAGGTTCAGGATGAGCGCGTAACGATCCCAGTTAGACACCGTTTCTTTGCATGGTATTATGGCATCAGAAGGCTTACTTGTGCTACACATTATGGTCTAAGGAAAATATATAAGGTCTTAATATAAGTTCTCGGTCTGGACCCGAAATTAGGAAATTTTGACACAGGAACCTTTTTTGTATCATTTTGATCAGAACCCCTGCGATTTAGGTGTGTCTTCTATTGCGCTTGTTCGTTAGAATATGGGCACTCAGAAGTATCATTCTCAACAAGGGTCAACAATCCGTTAGGATTTTCTGAACGGATCGTTGACCCCCGCTGTGAGTGATCTTTCAAGGGGGTTGTATCCTATTTTCGGATGGGGCTCGTATTCGGGGTTTTGAGCAATATCCTCAGATGGATCCATAGTTTCGCCACTAATGGAATGAAAATATGCGTGACGTTTAGTCGAGAACGTATGAATATGTCGCTGAAGCAAAAACTAACCTTGGAAAGCCGCCATGAGGAGTTGGATAGGTGCCAATTTTGGTCCGTCTGCCTTTTGGTCGACACGCCCATTTGCTAGCCTTGATCGCGTGATTGGCTGCGTGGCCAATGCACTGCGGCTAATTCAAATGCGATCGGGTTAGTGGAGCCGTGGAGCAAGCAGGTTCAGTAAACTCGTCCGGCCCCGCCTCTTTTTTTATTCCAAGGAGGAAAAGATGGAATACTTGTAATTGGCTTATCGGCAGTTTGCTTAGGTTTTGTTGAAAAATTGACTACTTTTAAACTTGGTCGGCAGTTGCCTTAGGTTCCTTTTCATTTTCGAATCATTTCGCGCGTACAATTTCACATTACGACACTGTTACCTCACCAATTTTACACTGGTGTAAGGCTCATACCAGTGAAAGAACCTTGTGATGAGGGGAAGTATTGCTGCCTCGATAGGTACAGAAAAAACATACTCATTTATAGCTCGACGCAATTTAGTAGAATTTTGTGGTGCTGTTTACGTGTGTAACGATAGAAACGTTCGACAGCCATTATCAATACCCATCTATCGTTCAAGATCCTTTAGAGACCCGAAAAAGGGGGGGAAAGGAAATTGGGACAACCCGACAATTGACCTCTGGCAAAATCGCATAGAATATCGTCAGACACGTAATCAATTAAATCGCTCACCCCCTCGGACCCAGATTTTTCCAACCCTCTCAACACTATTACGTTTTTGACAACTCGTGAAAATGCATTGAGTCCAACCCACAGAGAACTTTGTAAGAATCTATACTGTTAGTTCGCAAAGAGTGTATGAAGACCTAGTTCCACATAGTAACCCAATCATCAATGCTCATTATTAGATTGGGATCATTATGCCGTGTGTCCTAGTGTACTTTATGGAATCTCAATGATTGCTCGAGTCGCAACAAAACCAATTCTTTCTGATGGTCTCTTTCATTAGCGTTTCATTGTATCTCACATTCGGGTATTGTTATTTTTGACTTCAGACATTTCCTTTCGTAATGTTCTCCTGCCTTGAAGTACTCAGGACTGCCTGCTGACATATATGTAACGTATTTCTGACATTATTCCACTTTTGTTATAGTTTAACTTATGTTGTTGTCTATGTTTTTATTCTAGTAATAATTGTCCCTCTTCATTTTTTTCTCAGTTTAGGGCCGAGACTATGCTGAAGTTCAAAGTTAACGGTTTATTTTGATGTAATATGTGGTTTTGTTGAATAATAAAGAATCGTGATGTATGTATTGTCAGAGTTTTGCATAGAAATCCTTTTTTTTTTTGAAGGAAATTAGGTCCCGAGGTGATGTCAAGCATTGGCAGGTGGTGCATAATACCCAGTCGAAATATAGGGGATGAGCCAAATTAAAGGACCCTTTCTGGAAAATACTTGCATCCTTTCCCACGACAACGCCTAACAAATTGCGCTCAGAATTCGCTATCGAAGATAAAAAAACGTACGAAACCACACTATGGACAGTCGAAGGTATGTTGCGCAGAGCCAAAGGGGGGGCATGGAAAAAAGTCCGCATTGGGAACACTATCAGGGCACGCATGAAAGATCGGTCAAGGTGATTTTGAGAGCAAGACAAATCGAATCGATAGAACAGGATCTAACATACGAGATGTTAGTGGCCATAAGGTCAAATCGAGCTTCATATGACATCACTGTGAAACCGAGTGGACGAGTTCTCGTCGCCCCATATTGTCATTCAGATGTCTCGCGAGAATTTGAATAGCGGGTAGGTCCTTCTAGTTCAGAACAATACTGCAGAATTGTTTTTTTTTCTGTTCTCATTCTTCTATCATGAACAATGGTTCTGCAGCCGTGGTTTATTTGTGGTATGATAGAAATTACTGTTATTTCGCGAAAGGTGTTCTCTTAATTTTTTCATGGTAAATTTTTAACTCAGAATAAGTTTTTCGCTCCTGGTTTGACCTAGATTCTAAGTTGGATTTTCAAGTTTGATCTAAAATTTCCTTGTAGCCCTGCATAGGTTTTTTAGCATTGTTCTGGTATTCTCGGTATTCATCGTTTGTCTGGAAATCATTTTGCTTTTTATCAAACGTTAAGTAAATTCCCTGCCCAAAAGTCATTGGCTGTCTCATTTGTTTCTCTGTCTCTGATAAAATTTGCTATGATAATCTTGGTCCAGTCACGCAGATTTCACGTGAGGGGGTTAGAGGTCTTCGTTACGGGTTCATCATTAAGAGCGTTAGTTATGTCTGCGAATTGTAATTTTTCTGTCCTGCCCAAAAGTCTTCTATTTTGCCATCTTGCTTCGCATTCTCTAAAAATTGCCTTGTCATTTATCTCGTTTGGCCGTTCGACTGCTACCAAGCCGGCCCCATATTGAGTTCAGAAACGAAGAAATCGAATGCGTGTCGTACCCAACAAAGGACTAATCACCTAGCCTGGATTTTTTTCCCTTAGGCTATTATTCTTTATCGCAAAGAGATATTAGTCATTGGGTGCCACATTTTTTCTCACAATCAGGTCGGCGCACCGAAATTCGCTAAACTAGGTGAAACCAAAAATATACAAAAGCGCAAAGAGCGAACCGCAGCAACTATCAAAACAAAAAGCAAAATACTGTAAGGCAATAAAATAAGCAAATCGAACGTCCAAAATACCTAAAAAGAATTTCGTAGGAAAAGAATCCAACTAAACATCCGCGTTTCCAATAAGTACCGAATGAGTATCGTATTGGAATCTTAATCTAACTGGAAATTTGAGGTCGTGGGTAAAATCAGGACGGATTCTTTTTCCAAGCTGGTTGAAATAGTTAATAGTGCATAAAGAAGAGAAAGTTTGGGCCTTACGACCACTGAAGAGGACGGATTGATAAGAAGGAGGGTAAGGTCAAGCGTCCATGCTCCATCCAGAATTTTTTATACCCCCCCCCCCCTTCGTGGGAGGCACCGTAGCGAAACCACCACCATCACCAGGAGGTCACCCCTCAACACGACACCACCTTCCCCACCCTGCGACCACACCTCACCATCGTGTTGTTTCTTACATTTTGAATGCTGACTGCTAGTGCATAAGCTCCCGGCTCGTCTGCTCTCGCAAACGTTGGTTGAGCGGAAAGAAGATGATAATCCCCACGAAATACAAGTAATTTATATTTACCAGATTAGTCCCCCGTCAACCGCCGGGACCTTCCTTTCCTGCGCAAGCTTTCTATCCTCCGCTATGGTCCCTTCCTCCTGTGACACCAACACCTCCTGGAAGTGACGCGTATGCAACACAATGGTGTTTCATACAGTAGAAGGGACACAATCATGATATGACGGTAGATTTTCGCTTCCCTTCCTCATCCTCCCTTCCTCTCTCCACTGCCCTCCAGCTGCCACTGCAGCACCATGTGGAATGAACGGAAGTGTGCTAAGCAGGTGTTTATATAGCCCTGAGAGTGTTATCACAACTATCCTGCTACAAAACATTGATATCTCAAATCCTGTAAGCTACCCGATTTGTTAGCGGTTTGTTTATCCCATGAGCTTCCTTCTCACTCACTTCATTTTGCGGACGGACACACATACATACACACACACACACACACACACATACAGATACACAAACCGACACACAAAGTTAGCGCTTTATATAATAGAGGGGATGAATATGCCTCCACGAAACAGGTAACTCCTAATATTGTTTATTTCAAAGTTCTTTCGTGAGAACACCAAAATCTTCAAAATCTCCCCTCTCTTGCAGCCACGATCCCTTACCTACCACATATGTGTATTTCCCCACTCGCCGTAGTAACCTTGATCAACATCAAATACACCCCCCCTCCTGTGTATTGCGCAACGGGCAGTAAACTCTAGTGGAGAAGGAGGGACCCCCCACTCGATGAGCTAGTCCTAATTTCAACTTTCCCCCAGCGTGACGGTTGGCCTGATGCGAAGTGCCCATAATCACAGCCTTGACTCAAGTTGCATACCCTTCACTACCACTATCGGTGGTGGTATGATCTCATCGCACGTGTTCGAGTAGTGATTGCCCACTCAGCAGGAACCAATGTGTATGCCTAGTGTGCTGGGCACAATTGCCCATTAATAATTGTGAATACATAAATTCGCGACGTATTCAATTCTCGTGCAGGTGCATTCTGCTTTCTAATAGTTCTTGAGTATTCTATTCCACGTCATTGTGCTGGGTGTGAAGAGGTACATATTGATGTGTCGGCCGTGAGAAAATTGCATACATTTTGCGATCGGATACGGTAACCAACGCCAATTCACGTGCTGATCACCCCGTCTGAAGAAAACAATACCAACACCTTGCTTTCGATAGTTAGTGCGAAGTTGAGAGATCTGGGTTCGAATCCCACCTGGATTGAAGATTTTTGACCATAACTCAGCATTCATATGATGAAAATCAATACCAATTTTTTTTGTACTCCGCTTTGAGTCACCCTT